GAGAGAGAGAGAGAAAGTGAGAAAGTAAGCCACCAGGTCCAGGACTTGAACCCTGGTCAGCCATGTGGGAATGCCCAGCGTCTTAACCACCACGCCACCTGCTGGTCCCTGATGTTACTTACTCTTACAGTTCGGCTGTAGAGCACAAGTGTTGCTAGAGAGACAGAGGGAGGGGGAAGAGAGAGAAAGCTCCCCTGGCGGGGGGCATGCTGCAATCTCTTCTCCACTCTCCTCTCACGTGTGCATGGGGTCTGGGGCTCAACCTTGCAGTCAGCCATGTGAAGTCCAGCCACCTTAACCTCCACACACCGACTGGCCCATAGGGAGGAATTCTCTTTGCTGTATAGATGGCAGCCATATAGCAAACCCTGTCACTGGAAGATGCCTCCAAGTCTTCCTCTGTCATCGCATCTTCCTGTTTTTACCCGGTTTCGTCAGGAATAGTTTCTGCTGTCGGGTGTGTTTTTCTCCTGCCTCCTTCCCCAGTTTGTCGTTCTCCAGGTTCTTCATGCATCTGTGGAGGAGTTGCGTTGTCTGTTTATGCATTTTAGACTTCCATTAAGCTGGAACCCCTGTAGCGTCAGTCTCCCCCTGTACAGCGTGCAGCGCAGTGGCTGTTAGGTGCACCTGCAGTGGTGCGGCCACCACCACTCCCACGTTCTAAAACACTTCTGTTAGCCCCTAAGGAGACCCCAGCAGGCCCGAGTCTACTTGCTGTGTCTGTGGACGTGTCCGTCCTGGCACTTCTGGTAAATGGATCTTCATCTGTGGTGCTCCATGCTGGCCTCACTTAGCAGGTTGCCAGGTTCACCGAGTGCGGCTGGCACCAGCATGGCATTCCTTCTTGTGGCTGACCCACGTTCTGTGGTGGGTAACACTGCCTCGTTTCACGCTTCGCCCGCCGAGTGCGTGTGGACCACCTGCATGTCGTGGCTGTTGCTGGTAACGCTGCTGCGAACATTCATGCCCGTGCCCAGGGCCCATGCGAGCACGACTTATTTCCCTGGGGTGAGCGACCAAGTATGGTCACTTGGGAACTGCATATTCCACTTTTTAAGAAACTGACAAGCTTTTCTAAAGCAGCTTCACCATTTTACATTTCCCTCGGCAGTTACTCCCCATTGTCCCTGACACTGGTCACCTTCTGACCCTGGTGTCTACTGTCATAGTGGGCACACGGTCACATCCCAGTGTAGTCTGGCTTGTGTCCCAGGACCAGCGAGGGTGAGCATGGCTTCACATGCCAGTTGGTCACTTGTATGTTTTTTACCTGGAGAAATATCTAATCCAATCTTACGTCTATTTTTTTTTTTTTCTTTTTAAAGTTTACTTTTTCCATGAGTGAAACCAACAGGAATCCCCAACTAGGTCCCCGTTCTGCAGTACACCCCTGGATAACAGGCGTGAGCACTGGCCCAGGCCCGGGTCTAAAACCCAGGACCTCATGCACATGGGTCCAGCTGTGCCACCACACAGCACCACCTGGCCCCTTCGGTCCAGTTTTAATTAGGCTCTGGGTCTGTCGAGTCGTCGATGCAGTAACACACCCTGAAGACAGCCGTTCGCCAGGCCTGTGCTCTGCGGGTATTTCTCCTGTTCTGTGACTGTCCTCCTGTTTGTGTCCTTCGAAGTACATTTAAAATTTTTTTCTAAAGAATTATTTTTATTTAATTGTATTTATTTATTCATTTATTTTATTTTTATTTGACCAGAGGGAGATAGAAGGAGAGAAAGTGAGAAAGCAAGGGCCGAGGCTCGAACTGCAGTTAGTCATGTGGGAGTCCAGCGCCCTTAACCACCATGCCACCTGCCAGCCTCCATTTTAAATTGTGATGCAGCCCAGTATAATTGTTTGTGAGTGTGTGTGCTTGTGCTTTGGGTATTGTGTCTAAGAAGCCATTGCCTAATCCAGGATCAGTGAAGAGTTTATGCCTAGGTTTTTTCCTATTCTAAGAGTTTCGTGGCTTGACTCTCACAGCAGGTCTTCGTTGTATATGGAGTCAGTAGGGGTTCAGCTTTATGCTTTTGCATATGGAGATCTGGTTTCCTCAGCACCCTTTTTGGAATATTGGTTGTTGGTAATGTTGCTTTTTATTTTAATGGGGAACCCCTCCTGAGAATGGTGACTAGGAGATGGCTTTTCTAACAGGTAGATGTGACAAGTGCCTCTTATACACTGGGTCCTACTTCTCATGCTGAGGTTACAAACAGGGACAGGTCTTGGTTCCTGTTCTCAAGGTGTCCACTTCTGTTACTGGAAATAAAGAGAAACCAACCTGTGGTCTTCTTATTGTGACATCAGATTCTGGTCCCCACAGGACCCTCTTCCAGTGGCAAAGACATCTGTGAGAGTTTGAGTCCCTCGCACCTTCTTTTCTGTAGGAGACCTGGCAGGCCGGGCAGAACTACTGGGCCAAAGTTCTCTGAAGATCTGGAACGTGACGCGTAGAGACTCGGCCCTTTACCGCTGTGAGGTGGTTGCTCGAGGTGACCGCAAAGAGGTTGACGAGATTGCTGTTGAGTTAGCAGTGCAAGGTACGACGCGACAAGGCTGAAACGCCTTGCCCCCTTCAGGTTCCGGGAATTTCAGCTAGAGAATAAAACAGCTTACGGTTTATTTTGGTTTCTTTCCTTCCAGAGCTGCATCCCCAAGGGAATCATGGGGTTTGGGGAAGGGAAACATCCGAGTGCGAGACTGCCTGGGTTGGGGTGGACATTGAGAAGGGGTACGAGCAAGCCAAGCTCTGCAGCAGGTGCTAGACACACTTCACCATTCACAGCTCCCTCTTGGAGAGGGTGGTAGGGTCAGTGGGAGTATGCGTGGGGTGGACAGAGCCCCAGGGCAGGCCACAGTGGCTGAGGATCAGACTGCAGTTGTGACCGTGAAAACCGAGCGGTGTGAGACCCTGGGCGGCTGTCCTTGGGGCTACCTATGGTCGGCTTTGGTAAGAAGAGTCGTGTTGCTGAGATTTTAAATACTAACCGTGTCTTTTCTGCAGTGAAGCCGGTCACCCCCACCTGCAGAGTACCGAAGGCTGTGCCTGTGGGCAAGACGGCAACCCTGTACTGCCAGGAGAGCGAGGGTTACCCCCGGCCACACTACAGCTGGTACCGCAACAGCGTGCCCCTGCCGACCGACTCCAGAGCCAACCCACGATTTCGAAATTCCTCTTTCCTCTTAAACTCTGAAACAGGCACTCTGGTAAGATCTCCGCCAGCAAGTGAGGATGGAGATGCTTGTAGAAAGAATAGTTACTAGGAGACAAACTATAAGACAGGAGCTGAAAAGGCAGAATGTTGGAGATTCCACAGGAAAGGCGGCTCCCCCCGTTTGTACTCCAGTGAGTTCTAGGGAGCTGAGGTAAAGGGGGAGCTGTAGATTCAGAGAAACTTGAGCAGAAGCCAGTGTTCGTGGGAATGTGATGGGCGGCATTGTTGGGGTCCTGACTTGGTCAGTCAGCTGTAAACATCACGATGAGAGAACTCCGATGACTGACTGGAGATTTGGTGACACCAAGCAACTGTTAATTGCTCTAGGCATGATAATGGTGTGGTGGTTATAGGGTTGTTTTTTTTTTTTCAAGAAATATTTTTCCTTTTTTTTCTTTTTTTTGCTATAGGGCATGTATGCTTGCCGGAGAGGCAGAGAGAGAGAGACAGAAAGAAGAAATCATTGTAGGAGAAATGGCCAGGCCGCAGTCCCTTCTCCATTCTCCACTTGGGATTTTTGACATGCACACAGATGGCGCCTGGCATGAATTTCAAGCCACTGGGCCTAGGACTCACTGTGGTTGGCCATGCCTGAGTCCAGCGATGTAACCATTATGCCATCTGCTGGTCCCGTGGTTACGGTTTTTAGCAGTTCTTACCTTAGAGAGGCATGCTGAGGTGTTTTTTATGGATAAAACATGATGGAATTTGCGTCAGATTAACTCAGTGGTGGGAGGTGGGTGGCTTGGGAGCTGGAAATAAGATCAGTCTTGCAGAAGACCAGACCGAGCTGGCCAGCCAAGCACACCAGGCCGTCACCACAGTTAGGTTTCGGGGAGGTGCATCTCGGTTGGTGAGTTTATACAGGGTCTTCTGCATTCCCTCTGCTGAGGTGCTGCCCAAGGAGCATCACTGTCAGGGGCCCTGCATTGCGTTCTGGATGTTGCCAAGCTTTGGCATCTCTTTGGGGAGGGACCCGGATGAGGCCTGAGAGACCAGAGTAGCCCGAAGCACAGGGTAGAACCTTGTGAGAGCCTCGGCTCGCAGTCCCCATAGGGGTCTGCCCGCTCTGTTGACTGATCTGATTGTTTACGTGTTACTGTCTCTGGAAACAGGTGTTCAGTGCTGTTCACAAGGAGGATTCCGGGCGGTATTACTGCATTGCTGCCAATGATGCAGGCACGGCCAAGTGTGAGGAGCAGGAGATGGAAGTCTGTGAGTTCCTTTTGAAAGGGTCCGCCTGGAAGACGGGGAAGGGATGATTTTTTTTTTTTTAAGAGGTTTTGGCCCTAGGGTGATGTGCTTGCCATGGGGAGAGACAGTGAGAAGGAAAGTGAGGGGAACCAGTAGTTAGCGTAATGGCTATGTCGCTGGACTCCTACGTAGGACCGTGGTTCGCATCCTGGACCCGGTGCCTTAAATCTCACACCAGCGCATGTGCGTGCGTGCCCAAGATCCTGAGAGGAAAATGGAGAAGGGATTGCGGCGTGACCATCCCCCCTGGAGGGTGATTTCTCGCTTTCTGTCTCTCTGTCTCTCTCTGTCTGGCGAGCGCACGTGCCCTATAGCGAAAACCTCTCCATAAATAAATAAATGAATGAATGAATGAATGAATGAAAGAAAGAAAGTGAGAAACCGCCCTGGGGGTGGGGGGGTGGCAGTGGCGGCCACACGCAGTCCCTTCTGCTCCATTCTCCTCCTGGGATCTTGGGCACACATGCACATGTGCCTGGTGTGTTTCAAGCCACTGGGTCTGGAACTTGAACCGTGGTCAGCCATGTGGGAGTCCAGTGAGGTAACTGCTATGCCATCTGCTGGCCCCAGGAATACGTTTAATTACTGCCTGCCTGTGTAGAGGACTGTTCTGCCATGGGTCCGCTCTCTCTGGGAGCTGACTAGAATCCACCAAATCTACCGGGGATACTGAGGGAGAGGGGAGAACGCCGAGTCCACGGAACCAGGCCTGAAAGCACAGCCAGTCACGGCACTTGCACCCGGCTCAGCCAACTCCATTTCTTTGGTAATTGGCAGAATTATCAGAAGGTCGGGTTGTGTGAGGTCTCCATAAATCTAGCCAGTCATAACCATTCCGCAGAACTGTAGCCCCGATAATTAACTCCACCCTGTTTGCGATGATGTTTCCTCTAGCACACTGGTTCTAAAAGGGGCAGTGTTGGGGGGAGGATGGGGACAGATAGGGTGTACTGATATGTGGGGAACTCTTTGAATCCGTGCCTCCTCTGTGTCTGCAACCACGTTCAGAGCAGTGTTTTCCAAAGGTGCCTGATGACAGAAGTGTTCGGGACCACTGTTCCCCATGGGGCCCAGCCCAGCCCAGCCGCCCGCATTCCCAGCGAGCCTGCTCATCATGCTATTGGGAGACTGCTCAGGGTCATCTCCTTGAGGAATTTTTCTGAGTTTTGCTCTGGAGCTATATGGAATCTTTTTTTAAAAAAAGAATTATTTAGTTTTATTTATTACTATTATTTTTAAAATTTGACCAGAGAGAGAGAAAGAGAAAATGAGAAAGCAAGCCACCAGGTCCAGGACTTAAACCATGGTTTAAGGGAATCCAGTTCCTTAACCACCATGCCACCTGCTGGCCCCCTATACTGAATCTTTAAGGATAACCTTGGAAATGAACTTTATAAAATAAAAATGTAGGGGCCAGTAAGTGGCATATTGGGTAAGGCACTGAATTCCACATGATTGGCAGCGGTTTGAGTCCTGGTCCTGGTGGCTTGAAGTTCACACTGGGTGCATGTGCACCCAAAATCCTGAGAGAATGGAGGAGAAGGGATTGTGGCGTGGCTACCCCCCAGCCCCAACTGTAGGGAGTGATGTCTCACTTTCTGTCTGTCTCTGTCTCTCCAGTAAGCACATGTGCCCTATAACAAAAATATCTCAAAATTTTTAAAAATTAATTTTTAACTGTACACTCACATTTAAGAACTAATACACTAGAGTCAGGTATTTTATGAACTTCTAACTAGCTAGTTTTTGTCAATTCCCTATACATTTTTCCATGCATTTTTATTTGTAGAAAAGAAATAGCCACTGGAGTCCCACATGGAAAGACCAAGTGTCTTTGCCGGTATATAAGAATGAGAAGGGGCCCGGGGATTCCCAGTACGGGCTCTGTAGACAGGCATGCAGCATGAAGGGTCGAGTTCTCACTTTGTATTGTTACTTTTAAGGAAGGCTTGAAAGTAGCCTCCAGGCCAGCATGTGGAGCGGTGGCTAGGGTGGCTAGGTCCCGCGTGGCCAGCCGTGTGGCTCAGGTCTCAGGCCTGGTGGCTTAAAAACACTCCAGTGCTGTGCGTGTGTTCCCAGAATCCCAAGAGGAGGGAGCGATGGAGATGGGATTGTGGCCATTCTCCATGGAGGGTGCTTTCTACCTTTCCCTCTCTGTGTCTCTCTGGCAAAATTTAAAAATAAAGAAATACTTAAAAACCAAAGAGAAAGTAACTTCCCTGCCCCAAATAACCTGTAACCAAAGAAGTCTCTGAAAACGGGTTTTCTTCCTTAGGACTCCTTGCTCCTAATTCTACCCTTATAACCACTTCCCCTTACAGTACTTGCAGGTGTCCCAGAGGGTTTTAAGCCTTTGATATGATGCCTAGCCCCTTTTAATACAGTATTTAAAACGTAGCTGTATTTGACACCTCAGTCTTTACGGTCCAGTGGGTTCTGGTGTTCTGTGGGGAGTCGACGGGAAGGTGGAAGGTTCTCACTTCTCTCTCCTGGCTGGGGTCTGCACAGGGGCAAAGGGGCAAGAGGGCGGAAGGGCGGAGGCAGGACCTTAGACTGGAGAGCGTGCGTCACCTCTTCCCTCACCTCCTTTGCTTAGATGACCTCAACATCGGTGGGATCATCGGGGGGGTCCTGGTCGTCCTGGTCGTGCTGTTGCTGATAACGCTGGGCATCTGCTGTGCGTACAGACGTGGCTACTTCATCAGCAGCAAACAGGAGGGGGAAAGGTGAGCCCGGCTTGCATGAAAAAGCCGCGTGGGAAAAGAGCTGGTGTTGGGGTAGGCGTGTGACTCTGCCCTCTTCTGCTGACAGTTACAAGACCCCTGGGAAGCTGGATGGAGTCAGCTATATCAGGACAGACGAGGAGGTAAGGGGGGCAGAAGAGAGCGGGCCTGACGAAACCCGGAGCCAGGTGTAGCTGGCAGGGAAAACAGCACTCCCCAGGAAGCCACGTGGGCCCCGCTGAAGGTGTCTGTCCCCTCGCAGACCTCGAGCCTTTAGCCCTTCCTGGGACGTGCAAACACGGACAGGCCACACCTGGCAAGCCCAGAGGGAACTTTTAAAAACGTTTTGTTTGTAGTTTTGCCCCTAATTCCCTCCTTGGGGACCTGGTTAGTCCACACTGGGTCTGAGCAGTGTTTTCTTCCTTGCCGCCCACGAGGTCCCCGAGTTGTTCAGACTCTCTTGGCTTCTTCACAGGGCAACTTCAGACACAAGTCTTCGTTTGTGATCTGAGACCCGGTGGCGGGGCTGACAGCACATGCAAATACCTCTCTCAGGACCTGCCGCCGGGCGCAGCGTGAGCCGAGCCGCCGGACAGAGCAGACGCTCGTGCAGAAGCTTTTCGTTCTGGCCAAAGTCGACCGCTCCTCCTTTCTCACTCCTTAACAAGCCACGCCGTAGACTGTCTTCCCCACGCTGGGCACGGTCGCCGCCGGGAAGGGAACCAGATGAGCCCAGGAAGCTGGATCCCAGCCTGCCTCCGGCCGGTTCCCACACAAGTATTAGGGCGACCTTAGACCATGCTTGGCAACTCTCTGGAGGCAGCTGACCTGCCGCTGTGCTCCTCCGCCAGGACAGGCAGCGGCCAGTGAGGGGCCTGGGCTGGGCCGCAGCTGTGACGGTGGGTTCGAAACGGCTCTGGTGTGATACCACCTGGTCCGCTGGTCCCCACCCTGGCTGCCCTTCAGGCTCTGTTGGGCAGTGTCATGTCCACCTTGGAGAATCTTTTTGAGTCAACATCTTACAGAAATAACCAAATCAGGAAGGTGAATAGCTCATTGGAAGAGGGGTCTTCTTACCTGGGAGCTCTGCATTCCAAGAGGGAGCCAAGATTTAAGGTGAACCTTCGTATTCAGCTGAATCTGAAAGGTTACTGAAATAAGCTTTTCTATGGGTCCTGTTTGTTTTTATAAAATTTTACACTCTAAATTTTTGCTAAAGATGTATTTTGATTATTGAAAAAAAATTCTATTTAAACTGTAAATATATTGTCATACAATGGTAAATAACCTATTTTTTTTTTTTAAAGTACAACTTAAGGTAGATGTTCCAAGCTTCTAGAGTTAAATTGGAAGACATAAATAACTCAGAGGATTTTCCCCGAGGAAAGCTGCCAGGGAGGCCCTCTAGGACGCACCCTCTCCCATGTGAGGACCCGGGCCACGAGGTGTCAGACCATGGTTGCTCTGGAAGCCTTTCTAAAAATCCCAGTCAAGCAGTGTTGAAATGCGTTCGTGCCTCTGGAGTAGACACCTGAGGAACGCAGGTTAGCTCTCGCTTGTCTTCCTGAGCTCAGAACTGCCTGTGCCCAAAGACCACCCAGAGGCCCCAAGAGCATGCAATGGCCACGGTGGTCCGCTCCCAGGCCAGCCGGACACCGCCACTCTGCGTCAGGCTGGATGCCCGTTTGTGTCTCCCAGGCTCTTCCCACGGCTTTGTGTCCTGATTAGGTTAAGTGTCACTTATGTGCCATGTGGGGCTTGGCTCGCTGCAGACAGTCCTAAGGCGGATGCCTCCAGAAGGCCCGTGCCCCCACCCGTGCCCTGCCTTCGCGCTGCTGCGGCAGCCCTGTCGGTGTTGGGTGGCTCACAGAATAAAGCTACTGCGGTTTGTTTTTAAGCTCATTTTGCCTGTGTAGTTGAAGGCTGTCTAGGGCCAGAGGCATTTTGAAACCCGATCTGTCAGCTACAGTATTTTTTATCAGAGAAAGAACCCCACTGTTCTGCCAGGCCAGGAAGAAAGCACCCAGCCACCGCAGGTCCTGCGCCCCACTTCAGCCCCTGCCGCGTGGCGGCACCGGTCCAGCCTTTTGAAGCATGGTAGGTGGTGTAGCCAGGTGCGCGCTGGGTGGGGGGAGAGTGCCGGAGTCCAAAGCAGGTTCCTGATTCCGATGGAAAGCCTTTACCTACCCGAGACAGTGCTCACTTTGTGCGGGGACATTAGACACATCACCCAAAGGCCTTTGTTCTTCACGAGACGCTCCTGGCCTTGACTCCATTGTGCGTTAGACTCAGGATGGGAAGTGGTTTGAAGCAAGAGCTTCACAAAGGAGCACCTGGTCCCTCCGTGTGCCACGGGGTGGCTTTATGTAGACCAGTCCCTGTGACTCAGCTCAGTATCTGAATTTTTAGGCTTGGACAGGTGGTTCATTTGAGATGAAGACCCGAGACTCGAGTTGCTTTCCTCTGGAGGTCGTGTGCACTCACCATGAGCACAGCCAGGGCGGCAGGCACCCGCTGGTCCCTCTCATCCTGAGCCGGTCCCTTCAGCGCTGCCTCCTCTGGGTAGGAAGGGCTTGCTCCCCCATCCAGGCCTCCTCCTCGCCGGCCCCTCCTCTCACAAGCCAGCCTTCTACCCCAGTGCCGTGGGAGCGGGCCAGACCAGGGGAGACGTGAGAGGTGGAGTCGGGAAGGCAGCCTGCCAGTAACCCTCAGGTGAGGGGACGTGAACCGAGGCCTGTGTGCCTGTCACTGGCCTTGCTGTGGATTTGCTGCACGTAGATGTTCAACTTGTACTAACACACCTGTAATTTTGGTATTTGTTCAACATTTATAAAAGCTTTAAAAAAAAAACCCCACTGTGTCATTCCTCCTTGCTGCCGCGTTGGGCTTCCCTCTTCTCCCGGGCACCCCTCTTCTCCCGGGCACGCCTTATTGGGCACGTGCCCTGGCCGGGGTGGGCTGGCCTGGGACAGCAGCACCTGCACAGGGAGGCCCGTTCTGCAGGTGCAACCAGGGACAGGTCCGTGTGTCTCAGCTCCATGGGGAGGGCACAGCAGCCCCTCCCCAGACACCTCCCACACGGTGTCTGTACTCCTGCGGAGCGGGCATTTAACGCACCTGCTGTTCCTTTCTGCGCAGCGTTGGACAGACAGCATCTTCGGTTTCTCTGCTGATGCCACCAGAGGCTCTGCTCAGACCTATCAACAAACTGGCCTCGGCGCTGAGCAGGAGCAGTGTTTGGCTTGGGCTTTTTTAATGGTTGAGGTTGGCATGCGCGCACTGTTGGGACAAGTGCCCTCGGCGGGGCACGGGGCCCGCCATCATCCCTCTCCTCCATCCACGAGGAGTCTGGGCACCCACACACACGTACCTGGTGTGTGTTCAAGCTGCTGGGGCCAGAATTCAGCCATGCTGGACCCGGCTCCCTGCACGCAGGGCCTTGCCACCGTGCCACAGGGCCAGGCCAGAACCACGTTCACGTAGGAGAGGTCTGGCCAGGTGGCAGATGGCTTTGGTATGGGGCACAGGCAGGCGAACCGACCTTCATCTAGACAATAGGATCATTTTTTGCCTAAAAGGAAAGATTTGGTTTCATTCTTCCTACACATTTCACGTAACATTAAAATGACTACCAGTTAAAGTCCTGTTCTAAAAACAAAGATTGTGTTGAACAGTAGGATGCAGTACTTCAGGTTTAATCTTTATTACTTCACTGTAGAAAGCTGTACAGTTTTTTTAAATCTGCACTTATAAATAACAAAATATTACAATTAAAATTTTGTCTTTAGATATGGGAAAATATGTATATACAGAATCAAACAAGCTAATAGAGGCTTGAAAAAACAAATCACAGCTTGTCTGAACAGATTTGAATACACGTATATTAAATAGCTTAAGTTTAAAATAAGAAAATCTAAATCTGACAATTCCGTTATTCTACAGATTTTTTTTCAAGAATTAATTTTATTACTGTTTTTTAAAATTTGCTGTAGGGTACGTGCGTGGTGGGGAGAGAGAGAGAGAGAAAACAAGCTGCCAGGTCTGGCACTCGAACTGTGGTCAGCCTCGTGAGAGTCCAGTGCCCTAACCAGCATGCCACCTGCTAGCCACCCACACAGGTGGAGGAGGAGTGCTGGGACCCTAAGCACAATCTTTGGCAATACGTGACCAATGTCGTTCCGGGGGACAGGGCAGGGCCCTCTGCTTCCCACACAGACCCGAGCGCCTCCTCGGGCGGCTTCCCCGCTCGGTGCTGGAAGGCAGCATCTCAGTTGGCTGTTTTCAGGGGGGCCTTTCGGAGGGACCGCCTGCTGGAGGCTGTGTTGCCTTCGCTCCTAACCGGGGACTTCACGTTCCATGGCTTCGGCTGGGGGGGTCTAGGGGAGAAAGGTACAGCATTCTGGAACTGAATGGAAACAGCCGAACTGACAAGACGCTTACTTGAGAGGCACATCTGGTGAACTTACGGTTTATCGGGCAACGATAAGCATAAAATGTCGTTTCCTTCACTCTGGGCTCCCGTTTTCTCTGAAAGGAAGCCAGACGCAAACTCAGCTTTCCCAGAACTTAAAGGCAGCCAACGTTCAGACAAGAAAGAAACCGAGAACTTGCCTCTGACCGGCCGAGCAGCGTGCGGTGTCCCTATGTAGCTGACCCCTGCTCCAAACGTGACGTCTGCGATGGTGTCTGGGAAAGGCAGAAACCCACGTGAACACGGCCGGCCAAAGACGGCTTGGGCAGCTTAGCCAGGCCCTGCACCTGCCCCAGGACAGGGCATGCTGGGGCTCCTTCCTCCCGGGCACGCTCCACCCCTTCTCTGACCATGGCCCTCCTTGGGCTGCTCTGCTGGCCTGAGTGCTCCACTGACCACTCATGCATGGATGCCCTGCTCCCTGCCCCCACCTCCTGTACCCTGCACAGCTCCCCAAGGATGCCTGGCTCCTCAGTTGTCCCTTCCACAGTCCAGCCAAACAGTGGCCCACCTAGAGCAGAGGCACCAGGGAGGCAGGGACAAGGACCGCCTGCCACGGTCTCCTGCCCCACCAGGGCCATCTGGGTCCACCTCGCCCTAGCCTTGGCCTCTCCCGGTGCGTCCCCCAGGACTTCCCCTCTTTGGGGTCACCCATTGGAGCCAGGAGAGCACAGGGTGGAGGGCACAGACAGGCGAGGTAGGCTCGGGCCTCCTCTGTCTCACTTGCCAGCAGCTACTTGAGGAACCTTAAGTTGCCTGATGTCTAAAATGGGGATAAAAACATGCCTGCCTCCCAGGGGAGCTGTCAGGATTAGTGAGATATTTACAGAAAGTGCTTTACGTAGCACCTGGTAGGCAAGTCCTCAAGAAAAGTTTGCGACCACTGTCCTCAGTCAGCCTGTATCCTGTTGTCACTGGAGCCGTGCCCAGGTGCCCCAGTGGCTTAGGCTCCATGGACAGCCTGTGAAGCACCCTTAGCCACCTTTATGAGCTCACTTGCCACACATGCTGTGGGCCACAGGTTCGATTCACCGTCCTCATGCAGGCCTGGCCTGTCACACCGTGTCTGCACACACAGCTCCTCGGGCCCGACCTGGCCTGCCACCATCTGGCTATCACATGCCCTCTTGGTGCCGAGACCCCCTCCTGGTGGTGCAGCGCAGCCCACATGAACCCTAGGAGCACACTTCCCGGGGACGGAGCACACGCCCAGGCTGTGCTGAGGCCCGGCTTGAGCTGTGCAGCGGCTGCATTCCCCTGGGCCCCAATGGTGCAGACTGCATCTCAGACGCACCTGGGCCGTGGCTGTCAGGCCCAGAGAGCTCTGTCGGAACCAGGGGCAGGGCATCTCAGCTGCCTGACGATGGCTTACATAGGGACTTGCTCGGACTCTCCCCAGATGCTCAGTTAAAACTGGGGACTTGCCGATAGTGTAATGGCTATGTCACTGGACTCCCACGTAGTCAACTGTGGCTTGAGTCCTGGACCCAGTGGCTTAAACTCACGCAGGGCGTGAGTGTGTGCGTGCCCAAGATCCTGAGAGGAGAATGGAGGAGAAGGGATTGCGGCGTGGCCATCCCCCCTGAGGAGTGATTTCTCGCTTTCTGTCTCTGTCTTCTTTCTGGCGAGTGCACGCACCCTATAGCAAAAACCTCTCCCTCCCTGCCAACAAACAAACAATAACAAAAACCACAAAATCCTAGCTCCGGGGGCTGGCAGGTGGCCTGGTGGTTAAGGGCACTGGCCTACCACATGGCTGACTGCAGTTCACTTCCTGGACCTGGCGACTTTGCTTTCTCTTTCTCTCATACTCTGTTGCTTTCTTGTCAAATTGAAATAAAGTTAAATAAAATGATTCTAAAAAGAAAACCAAAGCCGTAGCTCTGAAAATCACTCGTTGCCATTGAGCAAAATTACATCGCTCATGTTGACTCAACCAGGTGCCTTGGCAGGTGTGCTGGAGAGCTAGGCCCGAGGACAAGGCTCTGGGGTTGGCTCTGGGCTTGGATCCTGGGTCGAGCTCAGGTGAGTCCGTGATCCCAGCCGGTGGGGATGCCATAATGTGACAAGATGCCAGCAAGACCCTCTTTCTCTTTTCACCAAATAAACTTTAAAAAGGGAGGTCAACAGGAACGTGACGTCGAAGGGCCTAAGGAGGCACGGTGCTGACGCCTGCACCTCACGTCTGAACAAACACGGCTGTGCACGCTCACACACGTGAGGGCAGCGTGACACCCTCGCCAGGTCTCACCGTGGGGAGCCCTGCTGCCAGGAAACCAGCCGAGCGAAGAAAGGAACCAGGGGCTCCCGGGACAAGCACGACTAAAGCAGGAGAATGCCTGCCGCTTCCGCGGCCACGGTCCCTCGCTGCCAAAATGAAATAAAAGCACCTGGTGCCCCCAGCCTGGGCACAGGACCAGCAGAAGCTCGTGTGGGAGAGGCGGGCGTTACACTGTTAGGCATTACCCCTGCTCAGCAGCAGGCCTGGAACTGCCTTGGCCTCTCAGGACAAGAGCCACCACGACTTGGCTGTCGGCCGAGGACAAGGCTCTGGGGTTGGCTCTGGGCTTGGATCCTGGGTCGAGCTCAGGTGAGTCCGTGATCCCAGCCGGTGGGGATGCCATAATGTGACAAGATGCCAGCAAGACCCTCTTTCTCTTTTCACCAAATAAACTTTAAAAAGGGAGGTCAACAGGAACGTGACGTCGAAGGGCCTAAGGAGGCACGGTGCTGACGCCTGCACCTCACGTCTGAACAAACACGGCTGTGCACGCTCACACACGTGAGGGCAGCGTGACACCCACGCCAGGTCTCACCGTGGGGAGCCCTGCTGCCAGGAAACCAGCCGAGCGAAGAAAGGAACCAGGGGCTCCCGGGACAAGCACGACTAAAGCAGGAGAATGCCTGCCGCTTCCGCGGCCACGGTCCCTCGCTGCCAAAATGAAATAAAAGCACCTGGTGCCCCCAGCCTGGGCACAGGACCAGCAGAAGCTCGTGTGGGAGAGGCGGGCGTTACACTGTTAGGCATTACCCCTGCTCAGCAGCAGGCCTGGAACTGCCTTGGCCTCTCAGGACAAGAGCCACCACGACTTGGCTGTCGTCCGAGGACGTGGGCGGGAGTCTGGTCACCTCCCGGTAAAGGGGAATCTGAGTGGAAGTGATCTGAGGGTTAAATGAGGTCACGCATCACAGGGCTACGGCCGGATAACGGCTCGTCCCACAGAAGTTCAGGATTTGGAGCCTGCTGCTGGTGATGGTGTCACAGGGTATGGGACTGCAGAGGTGAGGCTGGCAAGTCTGTGTGGCACTCACCTTGTCCCAGCCACAGTGACAGCTGATGACCAAAGCGGTTTACACACGCACAGCAAGGAGCGGCCACACACGCAGACGTGGTGGGCCCTGCCCTCGACAGCAGAGTGCCCCGTGAGTGGTGGTGGGGGGTTCCAGGTCATGCCTTGATGTCTGAAGGCCTGAGCCAGAGCAGTACACCGAGCTGAGCTGAGCTGAGCAGAGGGCACACAGGGACGTACCAGGTGGGGCCATGGAGCACGTCAGCACATTTTGAACAGTAAGACTTCCTTTGTATTTAAAATCATTTTCTCAGGAAATTGTTTTTTATGGGGTTTGGGACAAAACTATAAAAATAATGGGTGAAAAATTTCTACTCTTCTAACTCACCTCCATTTTGAATCGAAAAGAAGAGGGTGTTAGAGAAAATGCCCAACGGGGAGAGCACACACAGCCGCGTCGCCAGCCATGGTTGGCGCCAGTGGGACCTGGCTCATAAGACACGCCCCACCTGCCAGGCTGAGTCTGACCCTCCAGAGAGCAGCCCACTCCTCACGCTGAGCACGCCTGGGTGGGCATGGGGCAGGGGCTCCCTCCTGACCCACCTGCACCCCAGCTTCACCATCAGCCGCCGGGGCCCTCATGGGCCATGTGAACAGAAATGACTTAATGCACGGAGGACCCCGGGAGGAAGCGCTTTACGGGCAGTAATCGGGTTGTCCGGATCCTTATGAAAGGACCGACCTGAAGGACGCCCCAGCGCATTGGTGAGCATCTGAAGACCCCTGGCGTGAGCAAAGTAACCGTCCTGCAACTCAGAGAGCTTCCCCACGACTCCAGCAAGCACACATGCCATGGGAGGGCGCTGAGAGGCCCGCTCGCCCCACTCGCCCCGCTCAGACCCCAACTTACTCTTGGGGGTGCTGATGGCTCGTTTCGTTACGAGGTTGATGGATCCGTTAGACTCTTGGTCCGAACTGTATGAAGATGCTGAGATAGAACAGAAAAGTTTTATCTGTCAAACCCTACAGATATCAAAGAAAACAATGAAATGAAAAATACGTGTATGAGAAAGTTAAAAATCTCCACTATTTAGGGACTAGTTGGTGGTGTGGTGGTTAAGGCACGGGACTCCTCCATGTGCAATCACAGTTCAAGCCCAGGACTGGGAGGCTTGCCTTCTCACTTTCTGCCCCTCTCTCTCCCACTTTCTCTCTCTGGTCAAATTAAAAAATAATGATGAAGTTAAATAATTTAAAAAATATCCCCAATATTTGAAGTGTACTTATAAAAAGGCAGTGCCCAAAAAATACAGGGACCAGCAGTTACGTTATGGTTATGTCGCTGAACTCCCATGTAGTCGACCGCGGTTTGAGTCCCAGACCCGGTGGCTTAAACTCATGCCGGGCACGTGTGCATACATGCCCAAGATCCCGAGAGGAGAATGGAGGAGAAGGGACTGCGGTGTGGCCATCACCCTGGGGGGGGATTTCTCGCTTTGTCTCTCTGTCTCTCTGGCGAGCGCACACACCCTATAGCAAAAACCTCTCCAAAAAAAAAAAAAATACAAATAATAAACCTAAGAAAAACTGTCCCATGCTCAGCTGGATTAAAACAAACGAACAAAAAATAAAAAGCTAGAAAAGAATCACACCATTTTTCTCTACGAAGGTCAGAAGGGAAGATGGAAAAAGATAAAAACGAGTGTCACTCATGCACGGGGTTGTGGACGAGGGCACAATTTGACAGGAATTATGGAGGGAAGCTGGACACCGTTGAGAGTGTGTGAGGTTGCCAGGGCCTCGGCTGCTGGGGACAGACCCCAGGGCTCACTTGCGCAAGGCTGGCTGTAAAAGGGTGTTTGTTGTGACGTGACAGATTGAAAAAAGGAAAAACATCTACATTTCCAGAAATAGAGCGGGAGTAAGTAAGTTCGGTGCTTTCCCAAGACGGAACACTCCGAAAGCACTGTTAGGAAAGCTCCCAGAAAGCTCCCCACAGGTTAGTACCGCAGGCACCATGGCCCCCGAGGTTAGTGTCATGGCTGCCCTGGGGAGAGGCTGAGGAAGGGCCCCCGCCCCGCTGGCTTTTACAGCTCACTCCATTTTCAGACCGTAGCCTACAAACACACTGCTCTATCACCTCTACTCCTGACTCCCCAGTTAACGCCGTTCATTTTAAAGCGAGGAACGCAGAAACCGCTGGGGAAGCACAGGGTTTGCCATCTGGACGCCCTCACCCCCCGGCCGGCCTCCAGGCTCACCGTGACCACCCATTTTCTCGGGGCTTCCCGAGCTCAGCGTGAAGGGCAGCACGCCTGAGCTGCGGCTCTTCTGCCTGCTTTTTGACTCCACGGCTTTCTTGACGGAGTTGAGGATGGCGGCGGTGCTCAGGGACATGGGCCTGTGGAGGAGAGAAGGCTTGGACACTCATCTTCCCACCGCCAGCCACCGCGGGACGGCAGCGAGGGCCTTAGCAGAGACCAGCCGCCTCCTGTGGCCCCACCCCGGCCCGGTGGGCTCTACCTGGCTTTGGGCATGAACCTCTTCTGCGACCCCGTCTCAGGGGTAGGAGGCAAAGTCGGGGCGTGGCCAGCGCTCGCCCCGGGTGTCGAGGGCTGGCTGGCCACGTGGGATGTGGTGGGATTCTCTTGGCTAGCAGGAGCCGGCATGGTTTCTAACCCTGGAGCAGCCTGGAAGGGAAATACAGTTTTACTTACCAATAGTTTTTCAAATGGACTCTCACGTGCTACAAGTAAGTCCACAGGTAACTGATTTTAAACCATGGCAGGCCCGGGCAAAAAGCTTTCTCTCGGGACACACAGCACTGTCAGCACTGCCACGCTGTGCCTCGGCGTCACAGAGACAGCGGGACCAGTTGGTCTCTCCATCACTTTCCCATAGAGCAGATCTGCCCGGCTTCCTCAGGACAGCACGGGCCTCTGAGCATGCGTGACAGTGAGTCCTAGAAATGCCCTTGGGAACAAAGTACTCGTGAGGGACATGCTGGCAGAGAGGACAGTGACGATCCACGATACCAGGTGACAGTCACTAGCGCCAAAAGTCAAACCGCCCTCTGGCCAGCTTGCCATCTAGGTACATGGCCACTTCTCCCACCTACGGTGACAATGACTCTGCGGACACAGTCCTGGGACATGGCCTTGTGGGAAGTCAGTGTCCGTAAGACCGGCTGATTTCTCCCCACTAACAGAGGAACTGCTGCCAGGCAGCAGGCCCGAGGGTTAACCCTGCTCACTCCTGAGCCTGGGTGGCTTTGAGAAACGCCGGGACCTGGCAGCAGAGAGCAGACGTGGCGGTGGGACAGCCTCGTGGCAGGCTGGCACCGCCTCCTCACCTCCGCGCGCTGCGCCCGCTCCTGCTCCTGGGCCAGCTGCTCATCGTACTTCTTCATGTCATACTCCAGCTCCGCTGCCAGCTGTCTGTCGACCGCGAAGAAATCCTTGACTTCATCCCGGTAATCCTGCATCACCTCCTGAAACGGCCGGGAGCGTCCTTTAACGTTTTCTTAAATGAAAAGACAAGCTCTCCAACACAGCTTGATCATTAACGGCGACAGTGAGATCTATGTGACGGGGCCTACTTTCTCTATCGCCGTAGCTAACAGGTGACCGTAACAGGAGACTGGAGTGAATGCCAACCACGCCGATAGGCCACAGGAGTGACGGGAACGTGACGGGAGACAAACTAACAGTGCTCATCTCGGGGGACGCTCCCTGGCTGCCAGGGAAGGTGGCAGTCCTGGCTCAGGCCTCAGAGCAGCTGCAGGAGCAGCGCTGGAAAGCCACTGGGCCGTCGACGTCAGCACTCGTTGGCTCTCAGGGGTAGGACCGGCTCTAGTCCCGACACCTGATCATATCCAGGCAAGAACACTCTGGCCCTAAAGAGGGCTGCTAGGGACCAGGCCTCTTCACTAAGAGGAACAAACATTTCACCAACAGTATTGGAGACAGAGAAAGACGTACTGCAGCTCCGAGTACACTGGCAGCCACGACAGGGAGAAGACGACATCCATCGCCTCCTCCAGCTGCCGCTGCAAGGGGGCTCCACCGACTGCAGGGGAACCCCTGCACCCCTGGTCAGGTACTCCAGGATACCATCGAGACACTAAGCTCTCTACTTCTTTCTAAGGCTTCAACAGCAATCAATGAGGGGCCAGAAGCAGGTGGTGTGATTAAGGCACTGGGTACTCACACATGGCTGACCATGGTTCGCGTCCCAGTCCTGGTGACTGGCTTTCTCCTGTTTCTGTGTGTGTGTGTGTGTGTGTGTGTGTGTGTGTACTGTCAAATTAAAATAAATGAATGAATAAATAAAATTAAATAAATAATTTTAAAAAAGAACTGTGTTCCCTAAACAGCAATCAATGAAAGTTTCACAGCCGGAATCCCTTGGTTTTCCATAGTGATCCTATCAGAACCCCATAGGTAAAAAGCTATTTGAAAAATGGGTCAGCGGATGGCATGGGGGCTAAGGCGGCTGCATCCCACGTGGCTGCCTATGCGGTGTGAGTCCCAAACCCGGAGGCTTGAAAACCCATGCTAGGCATGTGCATATGTGTGCGTGCATGCCCAGGGTCCTGAGACGAAGGGAAGGGACTGTGGCATGGCCGCCCCCCTGGAGGGTGATTCTCACTATCCCCCCTCTGTCTCCAGCAAGCATGCATGCCCTATAGCAAACTTCAATAGATAAACAGAACGTAATTTCATTGTGGTCTTTTGTAGAAAACCAATTTATAGACTTTTTGGGGAAGAAAAATGCAAAATGTGAACAGAGAAGTAACTGTGCAAAGACTATACTTTCAGGGATCATTTCTATAGTTTGTTACTAGAGAAGTTTCTCTGATCGTGTAGAGAAGTAACTGTGCAAAACCAAAGGGAAGGGCTGTATTTACTTCTGAAAGGACGACCTGGCCGGAAGGGCCCGCACCGGCGTCAGGCATGCGCTGCACATAAGCAGATGCACACGTGCCGGGTCTGCTCGGACCGAGCTCGCTGGCCACCCGCTCCACGGCCAGCGAGTCCAGCCAAGTGACAGTGCCATGTCCCCAAGGCAGCCGCTACCAGGCAGTTATCTCCTGACCGTGAGCAGCTGAGACAGCGGTAAAGGAACACCGCTAACTAAACCGTCACGACCGACTTCCGCCATATCCTGCCCCGACGACGAGGATGAGGACTGCTCTGGACCTGGCTGGCCAGGTCTTTGGAATGGACACTCACGCCCCTGACCGGCCACCCGCAGTCAGCTCTCCAGGAGCCGCGGCGCCGCGTGGGAGAGGGACGAGCAAGTGCCAGCGCTCAGGCTCCGGCCCCATCCACGCGGCAGGCCCGCCCGGCAGGTGAGGCTCTAGCCAGCCCGCCACGCCGGCGCAGCAGCTAGGTGCTCCGACCGTCATGGTGATGCACCATGATGGGCAGAAGGCCCTGAGGATCGAGCCGGGTGGGTGGGACCTGCCACACGGCACGAGCTTGTCCCTTACCTTCAGGTAGTTCATGAGCTCCCGCAGGGCCGGGATTTTACTCTTCTCGAGCACGGTCTTCAGGGAGATGATGATTGGAATAATGTTCTCTATGAAGTTCCTCTTCTGCACCTGCAATAGCACAAACAGGCACGCGTTCGTCAGAGACTTCTGAGAGATAACGGCGTCCCCTTTTCTACTTCTCCTGGCCCAACTGGTCCAGCACGTGGCGCGGATTGGTTTTGCTTTCGGAGTCTGACGCTGGGAATGGTGGGGCAGGACCCTCTGCTTGCTCCTGGGGACCGTGTAGAAAAGACCACCCTGTCTACATGGTACCAGATTTGCCCAAGTCTTCCTGATCTTTACCTTAATGTTCACTAATGACAAATATTTTGCAAGAAATCTCAGAATTAAAACTGGTAGAGTAGCCCACACGAGCCAGGGTTATCCTTCTGAACCTGAAAAGCGCCTTTTCTTCTCATTTAAAGTCACTCACAGATGTTTCTGGCTTGTAAATAATTCCAAAAGGGTCTTATCAGATTCTTAGCCCAGCTGCAATGGTGAGTGCTACTAAGACGCTGTGCTCCACGGGCTGAGACACTGTGGGGACCAGGGTTCGGTTCCTGGTCCAGCGTAAGGGCTGGCATGGGGGCGTGTGTCTGTAATTCACAACTCAGGAAGCTGAGGCAGGAGGAGCACGCGTGTGAGATAGGCCTAGGGAGACCGATCTGTTAGAGTTGGGTGTGGATGCCCATGCTACAGGTCCCAGTGGGGAGGCCAAGGGAGGAGGATTAAGCCATAACAGACCAGTCTACTAAAAAACAGAACAGAAGGGCGGTAGGTACAGGAACAATTCAATAAGGACACGTCTGAGCAGATGGTGAGTTAGGATGGTTTTAAAAAGCAGCTTAGGCCCAACAGGTGACATGGAGGTTGTGGTGGCCGGGTCCCACATAGCTGACTTCATGGTGTGAAGACCACGCGCTGGGCACATGTGTATGCGTGCCCAAAACCCCAAGGCGAGAATAGAGGTGAAGAGACTACAGCATGGCGATCCCCTGGGGGTGATTTCTCACTTTCCCTGTTTCTCTCCGGTGAGTGCATGCACCCTACAGCAAAAACTACAAACAAGAACAAAAAATAAATCATAAAGTACTCAACAAGTACCAAGAACCCTCTCTGTCTCAGACACGAAGCTGACCTCTGAGGGTACAAAAATGAAGACAAGCATGTGTATGTTAGGATGAGGTGACAAGTGGAAGGGTGTTAAGAAATGTGTGCGTGGGGGCCAGCAGGTGGCGTAGAGGTTAAGGCAGCGGATCCTACATGGCTGACTCAGCAGGTCTAGTCCCGGACTCGGTGGTTTGAAAATCACACGTGTGCATGCGTGGCCAGAGTCCCGAGAGGGGATTGGAAAAGGGAAGGAAGCAAGAAACAAGCGAAGGTGCTGAGGACACTACTAGAAACGGCACAGGCTGAAGTCCACACAGGGGCGTCACTCAGAAAGACGGGCTCTCAGGCAAAGTGCACGTGAGCAAAGTCTGTTTCTTCAGGGTCAGCGCCTCCCAGGGCCAGGAGAGAAACACAAACCAGCCATCAGGGCTGGGTGTGGGGACTCGGGGCCTGGTGACGACTGTGGCTGAGCTCGTCCCCAAAGGCACTGAGGCTCGAACGTCGCTCACTGGCCAGCACCCGGCTGACCTGCTGGCTCTGCACAGCAGTGGCTTCCCTTTACGTGACCTGGGAGACAGCAGACCCCTTGTCCACAGCAGCTGTGGGAGATGGACAGCAGCGAGAAGAGGTGACGGGCTGCGGATGCCTGTGGCAGGCAAGTGGAACTGGGTTCGGGCTTGCAAGAGAAGTCAGGGCTGGAAAGAGATGTAAGAATTTCCACCCCCAGGCGAGAATAAAGACACTGTGAGCGCATCAGGATCTTGGGCTCAGCGATGATCTGGAGACGGTCGGGAAGCCTGGGGCCTGAGCGGATGACACCAGGGGGACTCACGTGCGAGATGAGCTTCTTCTGGGCTTCCTGCCTGACTGCATTGGCCAACGCCATGTCATCGTCTTCCACAAGGAGGTCCTCGTCTGGTCTTGATCTCATGGCCAAGAGCTTGATCTCCTTGGAGCTGAGGATCTCGAAGGTATCTGAGAGCAGCTCACTGGCCTCCATGTCCAGGGGCAGAACGCCGTCGGCGAAGCACGCTGAGAACGCACCGAGGGCGGCCTGAGAAATGTGCTCACCGGGGCAGGTGCGACTCACAGACACGGGGGCGGGGAGCGGGGTCTGCACGGGGCTCTGCCTGGGCACGGCTGCTGGGAGAAGTCACGGGGATTTCTGCAGCACCAGGGCCCCTGTGCGATGGTCACCCACACACGCTTCGCCCAAACGCAGCAGCCCTACCCAGGATATTAAGGCAGATCTTGGAGGTGATGTTGAATCGCTGCTCGTCTGTGAAGTGCTCTAGCAGAAACTTGTAGATCTTCATTCGTTTCTCCTTGTTTGACTTTCCCTCGAGGGAAAACAGCCGCTTCTCTCTGTGGGAGAATGGGACAGTTTTACCGCACCATGGGTACAGGTGACAAGGACCGAATGCAGACATTTGTGGACAGAGCTCGAGCACACTGGGAGTCCAGCGATGACCCCGCGTGTGCCAGGGTTGGGCCACCACACACCCAGCAGCCGAGCTCCTGAGCCCGGGCCCGCCGCGGCCTTCACTGACCTCTCCGACTGCGGGAACTTGTTGTACTTCTCGTGCTTCTCGTAGCTGTTGAAGTGGAAGATGCACTCGATGAAGTGCTGGAAGAACAGCGCGGGGCTCCTCTTCAGCAGCAGGAAGGCCAGGCAGAACTTCCCGAAGCTGCGGACAGGGAGACACAGAACAGACGCCTCTGTGCTCTTCAGATGGCCTGGACAGACACGCCAAGAGCTCGGCAGGGTGGAGGGGCCTAGCTGCCCAGGAGCAGCTTCAAGAGCTCAGAGCCACACAGCCAGCCTGTCTGCCCTGCACAACGGCTTCCCCCCGACTCCGAAGCCGCAGGCTTTCTCTTCCAGGGCTCCTGAAACTGGGACGAGTGCCCTTCCCCAGTGGCACCTCGACTGGGGGAGACCACTAACACAAGCCACCCTGTCGGCTTCCTGGAGGAGGACAGCAGGCCCTCAGGCTGCTGTGACGCAGTCACCCCAGCATGGACACTTGGCCTTCACCCCCGCTTCTGCTCTGCTGCCCACGAAAAGGAGCCAAAGCGCGTCAGTAACGGGGCCTTTCTTCATGGGGGCTGAAGACCAGGGCCACGGTCTGGATGTTGTGGAGAGGTGCTTCTGCAGGCCGACGTTCACTGAGCTGCAGTCACCAGCAGCCCTGGGTGCTGACCTTCTGTGTCCCTAATAATTATGCAAAGTCACACAGGGACACAGGTGCTACCAGGGCTGCACCAAAGTGAAGGACAAAAATTGAATGGTTCCCAAAGACAGATGTTAACGGACAAAAGCCAAACCACTCAGGGACAGGGGTCTCATGGGGACAGGCACAGAACTCCCAGGTACTGGCTTTGCTCAGGAGTCACTGAGACGGTGCAGGGCTAGCTGTGGTCCATCCCCACTGCCAAGACCTCCGTCACCTCGTTTCTGAGCCAGTGCCACCACGCTCTCCACCTGCACAGGAGCCCCAGGCAGCTGTCCCCTGGGGGGGCAGTGACAAGAACAACCCCAAAGGCTTAAGGCTTGGCTTGGGGACACACGAGGACTCCACAGACCGACCTTCCCCACGGTGTTCCCGGGCTGAGTTCAAGTCAACTGCACCCCGGCATGCACATCAGCTAAGTCAGAGAAGGGGACTCGGAGGTCACAGCGGAAGTGACCCTGGCTAGAAATTCCACTGCAGATGACTGCGCTTTGACTATGGCCTAGGACAGGGGGCAGCTGACTCACAGACACAAAAACAAAACAAGACCTACTTCATCAAGGGAATCCCTGAGGGTGCTCGGGCAGCTGTGTGGCTAATCTGTACAGACGGTGCCCGGGCCTGAGAGGTGACTGGGTCACAGCGCTGGGCCTGAGAGGTGACCGGGTCACGGGATGCCGTTCTTTCTAAACCACCTCTGACCAGAATGAAAAAATGAACACCAAATACACAAAAAACACAGTCAAAGGAATAAGCAAGGGGGATTTGCCCTCTGGGATTTCATTAAACCTGCACTGGAACAGCAGATGTCCACCTGGACCTTCTCCCCAGGTCTGCAGTCACGTATATGAAACGGGAAGCCAGATGTGACCCCAGACTGACCCTCACATCTGCAGGCTGCATCCTCCACCCCGGGACACGGAGTCAGCCCTTCGTGCCCACCCTGCCTGTGCTTCCCGCTGTCCGACTCGGACCTGTTCCACGCATTCTGCACCTCACGAAGCCATCGTTGGGTCAGGCATGACCACTCACCCGGCCAGGCCAGCTGCCTGTCCCCCTCTCCTGTCGCCCTGGGCCATGTTTTGGTGGCTTTCATGCCTTGAGCCTCCCTGGCCCCTGCCTTGTGCACTTCTACGGCATCTTCCCCGCTAACGGGAAAGAACCCACCATTCCTGGCTTGCAGCGAGATGACGGCTCTGCAAAGCCGCCACCTAGTGGGCACAGGGGAAACCACATCACGGCTCTGCAGCCTTGAAATCTGTGTTCTTTTTAAAGTGATCCATTAAAAACATCATGCGCATTTGCTCAGGCTAGAATCTTCAGATCCAGCTAGACCAAAAACCAGTTCCGACAGGCTACAGGCTCCCTACAGTCCTTTGCGAGATCGGTATTCACAGTTCCATATGGAGAAGTTAATAGATTTAGTGTAAACAGAGATCTACCCTTTGGACTAGAATCTGGGAAAGAGACGGACTTAAACCTCATTAGCAAATCCTGACCCACTCTGGGATCATGGTGTAAACGCATCCAGAATGCAGAGACAGACTGGAACAGTGCGGGGACACGCTCAGACACAGGCAGGGGCCGAGTCTCCGTCCAGGGGCAGCACCTCTTCCTCTGCTCGCTCTTCCCATGGGTGCTCTGGGCTCCTGGACACATGGGACTGGGCACAAGTCACACACCGACAAAAACCTACCAGAACCGCGGAGCGGCAGACAGAAGTGAGGATGAGGAAGTGCAGGTGGGACAACCCACTGCACCCCCAGTTTGTCATCTGAAAGCTCGCCATGCCGGCTGCCGGGCTGTCACACGGGCCAGCACAGTGGTGGGCCATGTGGGTCGCAGAGGGCGTGGCGCTGCTGCCCTGGCCCCTCCCCACCCAGACAAACGAGGAAAAGGCAACAGCCTCAGCCTTTAGCTTCTGTGCCTCCAGACGTATTAATCAGACCATTAACCTTCCATGGGTTTTTAAGAAGAAAGGTTCCTCCTTGGAAAATTACACCCGACGAAAACTGCAGACATTCTCCCATGGAACTCAGACTAAATTACTGGTGACAGTATTTAGAACCAGAGGGACTCATTATTATAGGCTATTTATAGTTAATGAACTCTATAAAGACCTGTTCCCCACTGTGGTGGCTTTTGCCATGGCATTCAACATTCTATTTTCCAATTCCTCACTTGCTTTAAAAAGAATTAATGCTATCGGACCATTTCTCAATCCGTCGAAAAATAAATCTTTAAAAGCATCATATGAGGGCAAGAATGCACAGTTGGCAAAGTCAACGCCCTCCCTTACAACTCGTGAGAAACACCATGCCCAAGGAGCCTGGTGATTTATATACCCCATCTCCCACTGTGCAAGTCTGTCTTCTTTTTACAATTTTGCTATAAGGTGTGTGTGCTCGCTGGAGAGAGACGGGGGTGGCTAGGTAAGAGCACAATCCCCAAGGATGGCCAACTGCAATCCCTTCTCCTCCATTCCCCCCTTGGGGTTGTGGGCATGCACGCACTCATGCCTGGTGTTTTTCAAGCCACCTGGTTGTAAACAGCCTGGCTGGCCATGTGGGATCCAGCTGCCTTAACCACCACACCACCAGCTGGCCCTGTGCAATTCTGCCTTAACTCCCAGAATTCTTTCCTTACTATTTCTACACTTAAAAGAGTGTCTGGGGCCAGCCCGGGCCTGGTAGTTAAGGCCGCTAGATTTGACATGGCCAACTCTGTGGTTTGAGTGCTGGACCCAGCAGCTTGAGAAGCACATGGGATACATGTATAAGTGGGCTCCAAATCCCCAGAAGGAGGGAGAGATGGAAGAGGAGGGATCGTGGCATGATCAAAGCCAACTATGCTGATGTCTAGCTAGTGGCCTCTGTTCTACACAGTTTAACACGACAAAGGCATACAATGTCCGCTGTTCCTTCAGGAAGAACAATACTTACAAATGTCAATGCTGAAATGATCTAATAATGAATCTGGGGCCAGCCCTGGGAGCATCTGGTTAGAGGAACCAGATCCCATATGGGAGACCATGTGGTTCAAATCCCAGCCCATGGAGAATTGGAGAAGTGATTATGGCGTGACCACACCCCACTGAGGGGTGCTTTCTTCCCCGTTGCTTCTCTCTGGCAACGGACATGCTCTTTCACAAAATAAAAAAAGATAATAATGAATCTAAACTTTTGAACTTATATACAAAATAAAGGTTTTATTATACAGCCTAGTATTTTAAAAATCGGCTAATTTTTCTGGCAACAACCAAAAGCTTACCAAGTCCTATATACCTCTAAGCCAATTTGAAGAAATGTAGAGTGTATAAAAAATTAGGTAGATTGCTTCACTGTCTGACACGGGAGAGGAAGACTTACCTGGCGATGTCTGGGTGCGAATCGATCAGAGTACTGACAAACCGGAAGAACAAAGAGCCCTTCCATTTCACGAATTCTTCCTGCACAGAGAGAAACCGGCATATTTCAGGGTGAACCTCGACATACGCAAACCTCATGCAGGCAGGCCCAGAGTCTCCTGTCGCTTCTCCCTGGGAGTGGAGCACTGCCAGCTCCCTGGTACACCCCCACAACCAGCTCAGCTCTCACTGACAGCCCGAAAGCACAGACCACTCACTAGTCACACAGCAGTACAGAGGGCCATGGGCGGGAGGGCAACAAACCTCCCGCTGTCAGGGAAATGACTCCAAGTGCCGGGCTTAGGACAGCCATGGTGGCCCCGGAGCACTTATAGCACGCAGAGACAAGAGCGTGCAACGCACAGGGTGGACACATGACTTAGTGAGCGGCCTTCCTGCTAATGCTCACACGTTGTTTTCTCATTACAGACCAACTGCCCTCGATGCACAGAAAAAATCGAGTGCTCTGCAGGGTCTGGGAGCTTGCAGAGTTCTGTACACCAACCCGCTCCCTGGACTCTGCAGCATGGCTGTGGTGGTCCAGTGCAAACACGGTGACGCCCACTTTGCAGATGCAGGAGTCTGAGCAAACACCCAGACGGCTGTTCGCAGGCGACAACCTGCTCTAAAGGCCACACAGAAGAGCAGAGCGGTCCCTTAACCAGAGGGGAGGCGACTCAGTCCTGGGTTTTGCCTCAAAGCGAGCACGTGACCTACACTGCGCGAGGACCCCCTAGAGCCGGGAGGAATGGTGGGGGAAGGGCAGGTCTAAGTCTTATCCACACCTGCAAGAGATTGGTGAGCAGGGTGAGCGTCTGCTTCCTGATGAACGGGTCCGAGTCCTTCAGGCACGTGGCGATGTTGGGGATGTACTTGTCCACCATGACGGTGTAGCGGATGCAGAGGTCGCACAGCACGACCACCACGTTGTTGCGCACGGCCCCCTCCTCGCAGGCCTCCAGCTCCCGCACCAGGGCCGGGATGCTCTGCTTCGCCAGGTCCTCATGCTGTAAGCACAGCTTACCTGCCGCAGGAGACGGGAAGAATCGGGCCCAAGCCAATCCCAGCCTGGATTTCCTCCAGACACACCTTGCTATGGACTTGCTGTAACCAGCTGTACATCATGGCTACGATTGTGAACAGAACACACAGGCAGACAGACGCATGCTACATGCTAGGAAACTCACGCCTTAGGAAGAACGAACTCCCAAGGGTGTCAGGAGCTACATACAGTGGGATGTTCTTTCACTTCAATAAAAGAATCTTGAGTTTTCCGGTTATCTGCTTACCTAACAAAGTGACTAACAAAATCTAATGGATAATACATTTTAGTTTATTTTTTTTAAAAGACCTATTAAATTCCATTTGTTGTTATTATTTTAACTTTACCAGACATTATTATTATTTTAACTTTATTATTAACATGATTTTAACTTTACCAGACAGAGAGAAAGGGAAAACCGAGAAAGCAAGCTGCCAGGTCTGGGACTCAAACCACGGTCGGCCACGTGGGAACCCAGCACCTTTAACCACCACACCACGTGCTGGCCCCAATTTTACTTTATTCTGGAGAGATTTTTGCCATAGGGCATGTGCGCTTGCTGGAGAGACAGAGACAGAAAGTGAGAAATCACCCTTTATTGGGGATGGCCACACCACCATCCCTTCTCCACTCTCCTCTTGGGATTTTGGGCATGCCTGCACACGTATCTGGCGTGTTTCAAGCCACCGGGTCAGAGACTCGAACCATGGTCGACTGTGTGGGAGTCCAGTGACGTAACCATTATGCCATCTGCTGGTCCCACATTTTACTTGTGAATTCTCTCTCTCTCAGTTAAAAGTCTTGTGAAGAATCGGAAGTACAAGCCGGGTGACCAGGAGGGAATGCTAGTTTACCTCTTGCTCACGGTTAGAGCATGGAGTTTTGTCGGTATGTTTGTTTTTGGCCTAGGGAGTGTTTTACTCTTGTTTGCAATTCTGAGATATTTAAAAAATAACCGATTACTACAAGAAAAATTCCTAACTTGTCTAGCATTAAATACACAGTTAGGCTAATAACAAAAATTCAAGTTACAGCACAGAGGACAGTGTTTTCGAGATGCACAGTGACTTGTGTTCACGGAGAACTACGCTGAGCCATTTATCTACCACCAGGAAGAGTGGGAGACGAACCCTCTCCCCAGACTGCACTTCACTTCTGCTTTTCGTCCCCAAAACTTGTGCAGTGGCTGCCGTGAGTTCTCGGTGAACAGACTTCACGGTGCTACACCATAAGATATTCTTACACAATCGCTCTTACAGGTCTAACTGGAATGGTGTAACATAATCCTCCTGAAAAACAAAAGCCCCACAGAGAATGCTCCAGGTCCCAGACTGGGGTCGTCGCCACCCTAAGGCTCGTGAGTAGCCCCCCCGTCACGCCTGCAGAGCTGGGTGCTCCTGTCGGAATTACCCCGAGTGAAGGAGTGAGGAGACAGGGCTTGGGGATCAGACAGCTCGGCAGGACACACACACCGGGCCAGGCCCACACCGCGCCCAGGCGAGTCTGCTTAGCACAAGAGCCGCACACGGAACCGGCCTGCAAGGACTGTCCTTACCTAAGGTGATGATGGCGTGTGCTCTGATTACAGACGGCATGGCAGACTCCCGGGCCTGGAAGGGTGGCCGAGGGGCTGGGGCCTCGCTGCCCTCTGAAGACGCTGGCACTGCGGGGGTGGGGAAGGGCTTCAGCAGCAGCCAGAGGCTGGCTCGGCCCGAAGTGCGCCACGTGGAACATGACCTAAGTGCCTTACCAGGATTTACGCCGGCTGCGGAGGCCAGAATGGACTGGACCAGGAGGAAGACTCGCTTCTCCACCCTGGCTGGACATAGCTGAGCCACATCGCCTAAGGTGAAAAGGTACTTTACCTAAAAGAGGGACAGTTTCGTAGTAAAAATAAAAATAAGGCCGGAAAAAAAGGGAAAAGAAAAATGAACTCTAGCTCAATTTTAAGGCCACATCTATAAAAGTTAAAATGAAAATAAGTTAAAATAAAATTCGAATTCAAATTAAAATAAAACTTTACTATCTTTTATTTTCATAATTGCATGACCATTCAGTTACTACTTAACTCAGCCAAAATTAAGGTGACCATATCATCTTATCCCCCAAATCTGGTCACCCCTGAGAGTAAAGAGGGTCCCTGCTAATCACTGTGTCGTACTGACAGATGCAAATGAGATTACCTTGGGCAGCCTGGGACAGAGAATTGTCCACTAACTTTTCAAAGTATTTCCACCGTCATATGGCTTTATGTTGCGGTCTCTTTTTTTCTGTTTTTAGTTTTGCTATAGAGAGCTTGTGTGCTCGCCAGAGACAGAGAGAGGGAAAGTGAGAAATCGCTCCTCTGGGGACAGCTACACCACAATCCCGTCTCATCTATTCTCTGGGAATTCTGGGTGTGCAGCACACACTCGGTGTGTTTTTCAAGTTGCTGGGTCTGGGACTTGTACCATGCGGTTGGCCGTGAGAGATGCCACCAGCTGGCTCTATGTCGGCTTCTCTCATATTCCAACTGATCAAGCAGTTCTGAACTTCACGATGACTGCTTTGAACACTGGGCCTCCTTTTGTGTCAACACACGTAACCACTGTGCTTAACGATGACACACGTGCCATTTAAAACGAGGGATGTTGTCGTCACTCCCTTCACTCTCCAAGGTGGAACGGACGCTTGCGCGGTTTCTAACCTGAGCGACTGTTCACGCTGACACCGGCCCGTCTCCTCGGGAGTGAAACCCACGGCTGAAGGGGATGCGCCTGTTCGACGTTTGAAAACGTATTTCTAAACTGCCCTGCAGGCTGGCGAGGACGCCAGCAGCCTCTCAGTGTCCGCAGCGCCCCTGCGTGTGTCCTGCGCGTGCCCATCGACACTCAGCCTAACGGTCAACCTCCTGCCTCACCTCACAGGAAATGTCAAATACAAGCTTATTCTAGGGGACAAGTCCGTGTTAAATCCACATAGGTTCACAAATCTCGAACGCATCGGATCTCTTAACAGATTAAATATTTAAATTGTATTTAAAGCAGCATAAATTTAACAATGTATGTGGGCAAAACTTCATATATATTCTGACTAGAGGGTAGAGTTAGGAGAGATACTGGGGCTGAAAATAACCTCATGGGCAAGCCCCCGACCAGGAGCACCAGTGCGGGCAGTGCTCCGTCTGGACAGAGGTGAGGAGGGCCCTCCAGAGCTGCAGCCAGGTCGGCGCTCAGCGTCCCAGCCCTGCACCTGCGAAGAGCACAGCGGTGCCTCGGGCATGATGGTCTCCTCTCCTAACAAATCTGACGCGGTCCATGGTTGCCAGCAGCCCCCAGAGCTAAGCCGGGAAAGCAGGAGCCGAATTAGGGAGGTTCGCAGTGAATCCACTGTGGCTCGGCGTGGCATGCACGATAGTGCGTCAGAGCCGGCCTGTTTGCTCCCGTGGAGGGACAGTGTTGAGGCTGGCATCAGAATTCCCACTACAGCCATTGAGTCCAGCCCACCAAAACCCTTTGCACTGTAGCGGCCCGGTGTAGGGGTGCATGTAGCAGAGCCAGGCTGCTCCGAGGCCACGGGGGCTCTGGACTGTTGAATCCCTCATTTGATCTGAGACGTGACTTTACAACTGCCCAGCACGACCACCCCATTCTACAGTCCCATGTCCAAGCAGCTCAGAGAAAGCACCACATTTAAAAAAAATTATTTAATTATATTTATAATCTTAAAGCAAGCTGCCAGGTCCAGGACTCAAACCATGGAGAGTTCGGTGCCTTAACCACCACACCACCTGCCGGCCCCAACTGCAAATTCTTTTTTAAAAAATCAAACCAACCAACAAAAGAACAGAGTACCCTGACTTTATTTTCTTACCTTATTATTTCTAAGCTGGACTCTCTTGGGCTTATAACCATATTGTATTTTCCCTATTTAAATCAGGTTGCTCAAGCTCTCATTGGAGGGACCAGCAGGTGGCATGGTGGTTAAGGTGCTGGACACCCCACATGGCTGACCATGGTTCAAGTCCTGGACCTGGTGGCTTGTTTTCTCACTTTCTCTTTCTCTCTCTCTGGTCAAAATAAAAAATAAATAAATAAATGACTGATAAATAAGACATTAAAAATAAATAATTCTTTGGAAGATCTCATCGAAGAAATGGAGACACCAAGCTTCCCTCGGATAACAAATACACAAGGAAAAAATGCATAACAACGTTCTTCTACAAAGCGAGTAAGCTCTAGGCTAGGAGGGCCGTTTCCTTGTTAAAACCTGTGGAATGGACATTACAGAACCATGTTTAAAAACATCCGCAGACGTAAAAGAAAGAGAAGAATGATCGGGAAGGTCTCAGCTTACCACCAGGTCTTCGTCCATGTTCCCTGCGCCGTCCTCGTTAAGAAGGATGCTGGAGAGTTGGAGCTCGCAGGTGGACAGCACATCCCCACACGCCTCACTCAGGAGCCCCTAGGGCAGGTGGACAGCACGTCCCCACACGCCTCACTCAGGAGCCCCTAGGGCAGGCCACAGTCATCCCCGAGGGGCGCCAGCACCCCGACCACCCACGACACCCACGCCCTCAGAGGGTCCGCTGGGACCTGCAAACACGTGAGCTGGAGGCACGCTCCCTCGCCGCACGCCCGAATCTCCCCCCACAGCCCGTCCGAACCACGACGACACGCTTTTAGCAATCTGGTCGAGAACAGACTAAATGAAATTTATAAAGAACAGTGTACAGAGCATCCTTCTATGTTTGCTTTACAAAAGCAAAATGCGAATGGTTAGGAGGATCCCATTTAGAAGGGATCGATTATAGCTGTGTTTCTCCCACATCAGAGAAAAACGTAATTCTTCAGATATATGCGGGAGGGGAGTGAACTACTGTGATAAATAATTCATTTAAAAAAGAGATATAATAAAAAAAAGTTGTCGTTCTTCTGAGATTGATTCATTACGGACAAGTTTCTGGTATTTCTTACTGGTGACGGTAACCTCAGGGGGTCATTGCACTTCTGTCAAGAGAGAGAGGGCCAGCCACACTCTAGAGCTCTTGAACTTCACTGGCTCCAGGAGCCTGTTCCAAAATACCTAGGCTAGGTGCCCCTACTCCCATACTCTGCATTATTCTACGAATACTTTTGTTTGGGCAGTAATTATGCCAGTGAAACAACCCGCTCGCAAGTAGGTCTCCCCCACTGCTCTGCGAGGGTCTCTGGAAGGGACCTTGCCACAAGGGCACCCAGTCAGTATTTCGCCGAACTCCTGGCAAACCACCGTTAGGGGCAAACTGTTTCTCAGGCTGACACGGGCTATGATGTTCCAGGCCTACTGACTTTTTGTTACTTGTGCAAGGTTGACTACACTGAAGATTTCAAAAGATTGCATGACCTGGACCCCAAAGGTGGCCAAGAGGCTTCTGAAACCCACAGCCATCACCCCAGTGAGGAGACAAAGGCCAATTCATTTGAGACCTTAACACTAGAACCCAAGCACTCTAATCACATTCACAATCAGAGTCTGGGAGAGCTGCCAAGGCCCTCCAGTGCTGAGACTCTGAGCAGGCCTGGGACTATGTCTGGTTAGTCCGGCTTCTCGTGAATCCTCAGGGACGAGGGACGTGTTCTGAGGCAAGCCCCTCCAGTCTAGGCAGACCTGAGTAGGTTTACTCTCCAGTGGGTCAAAATCGATCTTGTGATTTCCCCTCACTGGCCCAGACAGGTCCTCTGGGAGAGCAAACGAATTCACCTCTTTCATTTGAAAGTCCTTCTTACATCTGAATTTAACCGGACAGCCTGTCCCACGTAATTCTCCCTTCTCGTGCTAAGCACTCCAGGCCCTGCCACCGCTCCTAAATCTGCCCTGTAACCCCCTCATCTAACATAGCCAGCTCTCCTCGAAATATGCGTTTCTCTGGAAAGTTCTTACTGAAACTGAATTACAGAACACGTTAACTTAGGTTAACCAGGACGAAGAGCAGGACCGTAACTCCTCCTGTTCTAGACACGTCTGTTAATGCAGTCTAAGACTTCATCAGTATTTTAATAAAAGCCACAAACTACTGCTAACTCGCACCAAGCATCCAGATAAACACGTCCAAGACCCGAGCCTGCCCACGTCACTGTGGAGTTAGAGCTCGGTCACCTGTCTTTGAGTAATTTCTTGTTCTCAGTAAAATACTGACTGTTTCTTCGTGAAGAAAAGAATAAGAAGTGCATTTAACAAATGGGTCACGGAGATGGAAATACACCAAGGTCCTAGAGCGTCCCTGGGCCTTCTCCTACCACCTGCTGCCAGCGGAGGTGGTGTTGGCCAAGAGGAAACCACAGCTGCTTCTGACCTGTAGCAAGTTCCATCCCGCCTCTGGGAGGTGGAAAATCATGCATTAAATACTTTTGGAATGAGGATGGAAAAGGAGGATACGCAAGGCCATCTCAAACATCCAGGCTACAAATTTTCAAAAGATAACCTTGCGGAGTTCTACCCAGGTAATGAACGTCAATCAACAAGCGTACCTCACTGGAAGACACTGAACCCGGGTGCCGACGACCTCAGGGAACCACGTGTCCTTAACAGCCAAGTCTTGGGGAATGTCAATAGCTTTTCACGTAATTGCCTAGTTGTCACAGTCACTAAGGGGATCACGTGTCCTTACAGCACTCTCTGCAGAGAGCACTTCTCTAGCTTCAAAACACGCCGTCCCGTGTCTGAGCAGGGATTGAGTCACACCTGTCGAGGAGAGCTGGTGGCCTTACCTGTTCCTCCTTCAGTGTCTCTGCAGATGCTCTACAAAGACTTTGCAGGGTATCAACAGCGGAGCTGATCAACTCTAAGGACCACTGGAATCCATTCAGCTTCTGTTTGATAACACCTAAGGAAGAAGTCAAAGGCCTTTCAAGTTCCACTGCTTCCAAGTATATATAAATATAAAAAATGCTGAAGCAACCGGCAATGCTTTTCGAGAGAGATCCTTGGACAGGCACTCACCGGCCACCTTGTCCCGCGTGCTCTGCGGAAGGTGCTTTGCGATGTGCCCAAGCACACACAGGATGTGCCTGAGGGTGTTTGGATTGGGGTCCTGCTGTCTGGAGAAAGGGCAGAGGACATATCAAGACAGAGCCAAGTTAAACGCTGCCACCAGGCAAACGCCTCTTCTTCCGGGTAAGCGAGACTGGAGGAAGTGGGCAGGGTGGCATGGTGCAGGGACTAAGTTTCAGGAACATTAAGGCATTCAATGAACTCGGCCAAAGGGTCACCTGACTGCTTGAAAGTGATTCTTACATGGTGTGCGCTTCTATGCCGGAATTTAAAGAAACGATCCTGTATACAAACAGTCATGGGACAGCCCACTTCCTGAAGATGCAAGCTGCTTCCCAGAACCCCTCGGGCCCACTGGTGGCTCGATCTACGCGGGCTGACCTGCTGATGGTCTCCCAGGACTTTATGACGTCGCCGTAGCCCAGCCTGGGGGAGGAGCTGGAGACCTTGGCGAGCAGCATCCAGGCGGGTGCAGAGCGCTCTGTACCAGTGTGAGACATCACATTGCTGACGAAAGCGCAGGAGAATTTCTCTGTCTTGGACCAGATATGAAAAGCCTTATTTAAGTAGCGGCTGGAAAAAAAGATGGGAAAGCAGAGTTGTCACTATAAATACACCAGAGTGTTCGGACCAGCCTCTCTGTGGAAGTGGACGGAGCGCACTGCTCCAGAGACCCGGGACTGCTGCCATCCACGTGTTCCTGGCTATTTAATACCAAACTCGGGAGTTTTTTAATTCTTGCCATGGAATACACTGTATTTGGTTTTCCCTTCCTAAGCTATTTTCTTAAACAAAGAATTTATTTGAGACTCTCATTATCATCCCCTCCAAAACTTCTACGCAAACATATAGAGCAGGTAACCAATAAGAGATACACCGAGAGCTTATAGGGGCAAAGCAGCAAAAGATACTGGGCTGTTGGGAAAATCAGGCGGAAAATCAGAAAACTACGCCATGACTTTCCCGATGACCAATAGGAACCTTGACCTTTTTCCCCAATGGGAGCACTGCAGAGTAACGACAATCCTCGGATTTAAAATGGTGATATTAAAAGAGCTAAAATTTTGGGCCAGCAAGTAGCATGGTGGTTAAGGTGCTAGATTCCCACAGGACCAACCATGGTTCAAGTCCCAGATCTGGTGGCTTGAAAATCACATTAGGCATGTGGGTGTGTGCCCCGAATCCCAGAAGGAGAACGAAAGGGTACTGACTTCCCCCCTTCCCTCTCTGCTTCTCTCCAACAAGCACACGTGCCCTAGGACAAAAGCCTAAAAAACCAAAAAACAGAGCCAAACTCTGCTCTACCCCACCAGCGGTCAGAAATAGACACTTCAAACACTCTTTAAATACAAAGTGTGTTTTCGACGTACTGAAGTGGCTACGTGACATCTTACAATCACTTAGCTCACTCCTCACGGCAGCGAGTGAGGTCGCCACTCGAGTCAGCTCGTCAGCAGACCTGAGCTCCTGGCTTTCCGTGTTGAGGAGGGTCAGCAGCGCCCAGGCGAGCACCTGGCCGTCGTCCGCGCTGTGGAACGCCCTGCTGTGCTTGACGTTCTGCAGCAGGAGCTGATCGAGGACCTCCAGGGCCTTCTCCTGCACGGAGTTCTCGGAGTCCATCACCGCCGGGGTGACCCCTGCCAGCCAGGCCTTCTGGACCTGGGCACATCTAGGCTGGGCCTTGGGATTGAGAAATCGTGAACTCAGAAAGTCTGCGTACAAGCTGGTGAAGCAGAATCAACACATTGGGAGATGCTTAAAATAATCTCAAGTATGACTGCAAACAGACTCTGAAGTGAAGAAAAAACATCGAACATGTGAAAATGAATTTCATCCTCCAGCTTATCATGGATGAGAACATGCTGCAATTTTAAAAAGTGCATGTTAAAGCCATGAGTTTGGGCTGGCAGGTGGCGTGGTGGTTAAGGCGCTGGACTCCCATATTGCAAACCACGGTTCGAGACCTGAACCTGGCAGCTTGCTTTCTCACTTTCTCCCCCTCTTTCTCTGGACAAGTTAAAAATATATATAAAAATCGGGACCAGCAGTTGGCATAATGGCTACATTGCTGGACTCCCATGTAGTCGACTGCAGTACGAGTGCATGCGTTCCCAAGATCCCAAGAGGAGAATGGAGGAGAAGGGATTGCGGTGCGCCCATCCCCCCGGGGGGTGAGTTCTCACTTTCTATCTCTCTGTCTCTCTCTGTCTTTCTGGCGAGTGCCCGCACCCTATAGCAAAAACCTCTAAAAAAAAAAAAAAGAAAAAAAAATATATAAACGAGTAAATAAAGTAATCCTAAAAAAAAAAAAAAAAGAAAAAAAAAAATATAAACGAGTAAATAAAGTAATCCTAAAAAAAAAAAAAAAAAAGCCATGAGCTTATTAGTCTAGATTAAGCATCTGTAATTTGAAAAATCGGAATCTTTTTGAGTGTTGACATGACAGCTTAAGTGGAAAATTTCACATGTGACCTCACATGACAGGCTGCAGTCAAAATGATGCAATACAAAAACATCGTATAAAAGCACCTCTGGCCCATGGTTTAAGGTGTATATGAAACATAAATGAATTTCATGTTTAATCTTTGGTCTCATTCACAAGACATCTTCATGTATATGCAAATATTAAAAAAAAAACATCCAAAGTCTGAAGTGTTTCTGGTTCTGAGGCATTTCACATGAGGGTTGTTCCCCTCAAGCAGTGGCTCAGCACTTTTCGGTCATTAAAGAGCAAATAATGACACTATTCCAAAGAACAATTAGAACAGATGCTGAAAGAAGAAGTCAAAGTACGCTTTGATGTCTTTAAATAAACAGGCAGGCCAACACGTTTGTTTCTGGCATGGAGGTTTAGAAGGCTGGATCCCACTTGGCCAACTCTGTGGTTCAAGTCCTGGACCTGATGGCTTGAAAATCATACTGGAAGCACATGCACGTGTGCCCAAAAATCCCCAGAGGAGACGGGGGTGGGGTGTGGCCATCCCTTCTGGGGAATGATCTCTCACTTTCTCTCTCTCTATGGTGAGTGCTCATGCACTGGAGCAAAAATAAATAAACATGCTTTCAAAATTCTTTAATAGCTAATAGTTGGCAGCAGATTATACACCGTGTCAGTGTATCTGTTCTCTGGGCAATATCCACCTATCTAGCTATATCTTCACTGACAAAAATTATTCTAGGTTGTAGCTTAAATTAATTTCAAAGTTTATTTTTCTATGTGAGACTTAAACTGAAGTCAATCAAAGGTTCTCTGGCATTACTTCCTCATGATATCTGTTTGGGCTGTTGGAAAAGTCATGACACACTTTTACACAGAAAAACATCGAAGAATCCATCATGTGGTCTTCGACGACCGAATGATAAGAAGTGCGGTCTATCACGCGTAACTTAAAAGTAACTCTTAAGCCAGCTGGCGGTGTGGTGGTGAAGGCTGCCAACTGTTAAGCTGAGCTCGGGACCCGGGGACGAAAAACACACTGGGTACCTGTGCATGTGTGTCCAAGACCCAAAAGGAGAGAGAAATGGATGAGAAGGGATTACGCCAGGACCATCCGCCATGGGAGGTGCTTTCTCATCTCCCCCCCTCTCTTTTCTCTCTCTCTGATGAATGCACGCACCCTCTGGCAATTAAAAAAATAAATAAATACAAAGCTGACTCTTCTTTTGCGAGGTACAGTCCTACCGTGGACTTGGTAGTTTCTAACAACCGACTTAACGTGCAGCCTCAGGTGGCCGTCATGCAGGATGCCTCTCGATGGGAAACGCCACACGGTCGAGACTGCCCGGCCCCTCACCGTGAGAAGTTCAGTTAGGGACTGCAGGGCCTGCTTCCGGACAGACACGGCAGGGTCCCGGCACTCGTCCTGCAGCACCGCCAGGTCTTCCTTCATGCCCGAGATGTCACAGTGCTTCAAGATGCTCACCAGCACCTGCAAGGCATGTGCGTGACACCAGGTGATGACTGCAGAGACTGGCTCGGGGACCGCGTCCTCCAACTCCGCGCTTCTCCACTTTCCGGGTCATGGGTCCATCCTTCCTCCCACTACACCCCACCTTTTAGAATATGATGAAAGCTAAAATCTTTCTCCAGAAAAAAGTCTGACGTACATTTCACATAAACAAATAGCTACAATTTCATGAACCCCCTGGAACCTATTCATGGTCCCCAGGTTAGGAATCCCCCTAGTCTAACCAAGGGAAAGGAAGGCTATCAATGGGGAATTCTTGAAAAGCCACCAACCAGGTAGGAAAACTTAAAACAGAGAATTTCTGGGACCAGCAGTTAGCGTAATGGCTATGTCGCTGGATTCCCATGTAGTCGACTGCAGTTTGAGTCCTGGACCTGGTGGCTTAAACTCACGCTGGGCGTGTGTGCGTGCGTGCCCAAGATCCCGAGAGGAGAATGGATTGTGGCATGGCCATCCCCTCTGGGGGGTGATTTCTCACTTTCTGTCTCTCTGTCTCTCTCTGCCTTTTTGTCGAGGGCACACGCCCTATAGTAAAAACCTCTCAAAAATAAATAAATAAATAAATAAATAAATAAATAAATAAAAACAGAGTCTCTTAATTCTTCAAATCAATTTATATATGACAGGACCAGGGTCAACTAACAGTGAAGAGAAAAGACGAGTAGTGAATATGGTCCGAGGGCTTCAAGAACGCTCTCTCACATTTCTAAGTGTTCAGCACCTAAAGTGAGGGTGCGTTAAAACCGAGTAGAGGACTGGCTGCAGTGGTGCAGTGGGGGGGGCGGCGGGGTTTGGGCTGGCCGTGGCAGCGTGCTCCTGTAATCCCAGCTCACTGGGAGGCTGGGCAGGAGGATGCGACCAGGAGAGACCCTGCCAACCGCCCTCAACCCCCTCTCCCTTACAGAAGTAACCATGACAATCGCACCTGGATCGCAGACTTCCTGACGTTGGTCTTCTCATCCCTGACCCTCATCCTCAGCATTGACAAGACACACCTTTCTGCTGGAGAATGCAAAGAGTCATTACAGTCCGAGAGCTCTCGCGGCAGCTAGCCTTCTACCACACCACACCGAGAAAACACCCTCATCGGAAAGACTCGCTAATCAGCTGTTTTAAATCCTAAGAAGTCAGAGTATGAAACTGCAGGGAAAAAAACAGGACATGTGAATATGTAAGTTCTCACTATAAAGTACACAGATTTTGGAATATTGAAAATTTAGTCTTAAATCTTAGCTCCTGCTTCTAAAATTCTGAATTAGCTTTTATTTTGTTTAGCTACAACAAACCTAAAGGGTTGTTTTTAAAGATTTGATAGTATATAATATCAACTTTAAACCTTTCACTCTTAAAAACTACTGAGAATCCCAAAGATATCCTTTTTAAAGTGTGGATTATATGTTTTAATATGAATTAGAAATTTAAACTGAGAATTGGAAAAACAGTTATTAACTGGGCCAAATAGGTGGGTGGTGGTGAAGATGGCTACATCCCACATGGCCACGTGTGTGGTTTGAGTCCTGGACATGGTAGCTTAAAAATCATGCCAGGTGCGTGTGTGTGTGTGTGTGTGTGTGTGTGTGCGTGTGTGTGCATGCCCAAACCCCGAGAATGGAGAAGGGACTGTGGTGTGGTCAATCTCCCTTGTTTTCTCATCTCCCACCCTTTGGTGCAATCACCCAAGAGCAAAAGCTAAAAAAAAAAAAAAAAAAAAAAAGGTCTGGAACTGGGACTGGACTTCATAATCTGTGACCGCACTAGGAATCACCGAGTCACATACTTTAAGTGGGGATTTTATGGTGTATGGACAGCACTTGGCATGGTGTCTGGCATACAGTAACCACACACGCTTTAGCTTAGGAGAAACTGTCAAATTGCATTAAAAAAACACAACGGAATGAGAGCGTAAGTTTATTTTGGTGCAAAAAAATCAGAAAGCCAGGCTGGCAGCTGGCACAGTGGTTAAGGTGCTGTCCTCCCACACGGCTGACCGTGGTCCAAGCCCTGGACCTAGTGACTTGCTTTCTCATTTCCCCCCTCTCTCTCTCTCAAAAGTAAATTAAAAAAAAAAAAAAAAAAGATAATAAATAAAATTAAATAAATAATTCTTTAAAATAATTAGAAAGCCAGGAATGCTTTTTAAAAAATAATATGCATTTTCCATGAGCTATTTGAAGACCTCGCACATATCCTTTATCCAAAACAAGATGTGAACACAGGCTTTTACATCCACGAGTTCTTGTCATTGGGAAGTGTCATTCAGATGAGGTAAACTGAGATCAGCTAATGGCGTAATGGTTACATTGCTGGATTCCCACGCAGTGGACCGTGGTTCAAGGCCCGGACCCAGTGGCTTTTAAATCCATCTTGGGCTTTGTGGTTGTGTGGCC